GCATCTTTGACATCGAAATTTCCGAAAGGGTATCGAGCATACCGCTCCTAGGTCCTTCGTTCACTTCACAGTATTCTTACCGTACACTTCGCAACATTTTTTTTGCAGCGTTTTTACCTTTTTTATTGAAAACAAAAAAAATTTCAAATCAATATAACTTTTTACACGAGCAAAGAATTGGAAAACTATCTTCATAAAAAATATAGGACAATTGACAGGAAAATTGCCATTCCCCACCTTTCTCTTTCCTCGACAATTTTATTCGCATGTTTTACGCATTAAATGTTTCAAAACGACGGAGAAGATAGCAAGGAGATGTACTACTTAATAGCTGAATTTATAGCATCGGGAATTTGATTCCAAACTTGGCAAAAACATTGAAAGTGTTCAAATCAAATCGTCTCAGGCTCGTATTCAGCCAAGGCTCAGTCACTTAGGTCTCGGTGAAACTATACTAACGTATTTTCGTTCGCCAACAGTTTTAAATGAATGTTATTTATACCTTCTGTGAAGAGGTCTGTTACCATATTAGGGAAGTTTGCAATGTGAACAGGTCAGCCTATAACTTCCAGCTGTTATTTCAAAGTACGTAGGACATTGTCTCTTCCGTAAAAAACACAACATTTTAAAGGAAAAATTTCATGCGGGTAAACAACTTTTTTCACATATTCGCCAAATTGCAAAAAGCATCTATTAAGTAGAAGAAGAAATTTTTTTGCTTACCTCCATAAAGTAGACTTCAATTATTATTGAAGTGCAAAATCAACATATTGTATATATAATATGCAGGCACACGTGTGGGTAGAAAAACAGGTGCGCGTGTTGTTTTATGTTGGTCGAGGGTACTTTTTTCCATTTTCCCCCTATTATCATAATATTTTTTATCATTTATTCATAACATAGGAATATTTCGGTATTAAACAAAAAAGTGCAAAATTTAGCGCATATTATAGCAAGGAGGGTGTGTTCCGCCGGATAATTGAATTGCTTTCAATATTTTCCACTTTTGGAAAATTGTTCTTATTTAAGTAGGAGCAATAAACTTTAGGAAGAAAAAATGTTAATGAAAATTAATATTGCGTTTGTAATTTTTATCATTTAAATATATTTTTCATTTTTGTATTTCATCATAATATTGAATTTTTCATATATTTTTATTGTGCATGTTTGCAACGAAATTTAAAAGCTATCTTAAAACTTTCCACCTTAAGACCTTAGTTACAATGCGAAGGGAGTATATACGCGTTGCCCCTTACTTAATATTATTTGAAAGTCTCGTATAACATAGTTTTCAATACAACATAAAACAAGTTCCGATACAACAGGCCACACATCTAAGGTTAGATTATTATTATTAGTATTATTCTCTATTAAATCTTAATTTAAGTGACATAGTTTTGATACCGATGGCCGCCTATATACGAATTCACCATCAGCGGTTTTGTTTTATTACGAAAAACATTACATTAGTTTCTTACAATTACACTACTCCATCAAATCGAAATGTGCTTAAAGGTTACAATTTGCTCTTTCGCTTTTCAACTCAGTTCCAAGTCTTGTTGTTTGATTCGTGCTCGACCTTCATTTCACTATATCCAATGTATTACATTTTGTAAACATAACAGTATTTGCCTTTCTTCATAAAACCGCATTGTAATAATATTTCACACCACATCATATTCAAAACCCTTCAATTAATGTCCACTATATATGTATGGCCCTGTTCATTACTGCGACGCAATCGTGTAAATGCGATAAACGTTCTCTTTGCTCTTTCCGGTTCAAATATTCCAGTTTCCTTAAAATAATAAGAAAATTTCCGCGAACCGAACGTCGATTAGAGCAAGCCCTTACAAATAACGTTTGAATAATGTGAATACGGATAACGAGCTTTAACATAATATAGTAATATTTATAGTGATATATAATGGAATTTAATTTATTTGCCTCTTTATCTTCTCCTCACATTTCCTTACAATAAAATCAATGACAATCTCTCAAATATACAGTGAGAAGCATATTTTAGTTTTAGTATCGTTGCCTTTGTTTGGAAAAATACTAAAATAAATTCTGCTTTATCAGCTTTTGTAATTGACACCAAATTCGAAAGTTGTTTTATTAGAGGCTTGCACTAACAATTGTATAGAAAGTTTTAAAGCTTTCATCATCTCCTTGAACAGTTACTTAACCCTTTGGTCTATAACCGCGAGTCTGACTCGTGGGAAAGGAAATGTGCCATAAGCAAGCACGAGTCTGTCGCGTGGTAAAGAATTTGTGCATAAAACAATAGGTCTTCTGTCGTAGAAGCATAAACATAAACAGATGCAATTTCGCTATAACGTAGATGAAAACAATGGATCCCTTGATAAGGTTTAAGATTCACTGCTAAATTATTTAAGAATCCCTGTTGAAAAATAATTTCCGTAGAAAGTGCGTTTCTTTACACTAGTGTACATACATATTAGTCGTCACATAAAAGGTAATTTTCGAACTATCCCACTGTATTTACTCTTTGTATAGTGAAAATGATAAAGTTGTTAACAAAGTTGTCCCAATTTCTTTTTTTTTATACCTATTACCCAAGTATGAGGGATATATTCATTTTGCCCAGAAGGAAGCCCCCGAGACCCCACAAAGTTTACATATTCTTGATCAGCGTCAAATTCTGAATAGATCGAAGTATGTACAATGTTCCCTCTCTCCGTCTACACTAAACGAAGCTACCGACTTCAAAAGTGTCAAAAAAAAACATTGCAAGTTCTTGCACGCAGCTTGATATTGAAATTGGCCCAATTGGTAGAAGGACAGCCACACAGCATCACGTAAACTGACCCTTGTGTTCATTACGCATAAACTATAGCAGATAAATGTACAGACGGTGTGGTACCTGTACAAAAAAGGGGAAAATTGTCTACATCCACCCAATATTACCCGACAAGCTTCAAAAATCCCATAAGGCATATAAATTCTTGGCCTGTTACAAATATGGAATGCATCTGAATATGCCCGTCCGTTCGTCTGTCCATCTATCCGCCCGCACAACTGTGCAGTAATTGTGGCAAACATTCTCCCATTAGCGAAAATGATGATGTGAAAAAGAATTTGGAAGATGCTGTAAACACGCCTACAATGCCCACATGCCTATATCACAAAAACTTTTATTTTCAAAATAAAAAAATCAGTCGCGCCCACTCCACATTTTGGATCCTGGAAATTTAATTTTTTTTAATTAATGTGATGGATATAAGAGAGAACGTAATTCTCGTAATTGGTTTTCATTGTTTTGTTTGGCTCTACATAAAATCACTCTGCATTTTTAATAAATTATTAACGTTGCAAGTGGAATTTACAAATTCATATGAACATGTCTCGCCTTACTCTACAGTACATTAATGATCTTTACGCTCGTTGTGTACTCAGTTGTTAGTATATTAATGCTTACGTACATGTACAGATTATATAATTTGTTTGCATGTATTTAAATAAGGAGCGTAACATTTACATTTTTATATATATGTGCTTCATGGAGAATGTAGAGGCTCATGGAAGTTTTACATGTGTCATATTAACAATTTTTCCTTCAATGATGCATAAACTACGAAGCACGATCGTATTGCTGTCGTTATGCAAACAAAATTAATGGACATTGTTTTTGTCTCTCTCTATATTAATTGTTTTTTCCTCTTTTCGCAATAATTACCTGCGAAATCTGACTTTCCCGACAATTCCCATAAGCATATAAATTTATAAAGTTTCTTCTTCAAATTGATCACTTTAATGTACATTTGCTTTGTTCTCAACTTGCATTCTTTCCATTCAAGAAAAATAAGAAAGACGCGGAAAAAATCACGGTTGCTTTCTTCATCTTCCCCTTCTCAAGTCCTTCTTCCTCCAGCCCCACTTCCATTTCTTTCTTCCATTTTTCGTTATCCAAGCCTGCCAATTATTTTGGTAGTTTGGTAATTTTTCGTCAGTGAATTTACCAACCCTACCTCCCCTAACCGTTCAGGGGTGTGTTGGTAAATAAACGGAACTGTACTATATATTATACTATACATTATTAGTGCACTCTATTACACATAGTCATATACTATGCTCTTACTATATGCACTACTAAATTATGTTATAGGTACTACTGTGCTGTATGTATGCTGTACTATACCATATGTGCCACATGTGCCATATGTAAATATTGTCTTATACTATATATATTTATGTTCTACTATCCCGTAGATTTATATTGCGCTGCGTACATATGTGTGGACATCTGAAATACTTGAAAAGTTGGTAACAATGCTATTATGACTTTTTGAAAATATTTCATTAGAATATTAACTGCAAAGACACTATCGCCGTCACCGCATCTTCGTCCTTAATACTTTGCCGTTCTTTCTACCCTAAAATTTCGTACAATTAACTTGTCTAGGATAGATAAAATAATCTCTTAGGAAACCCATTGCTTGCGAAGACATTTGTGAGCTTCGTTGCCTTTTACAATTGAAAAAGAAAGAAAACAAATAATCGCTAACAGGGCAAGCCAGGCCCTTAACTTGTTTTTTTTTTTATTATATTAGTTTAAGCAAAAAAAATCATCCTGAAATTATGTAATAAAATTTATTAATTTTCGAAATTCCTATTTTGCAGGTCACTTCTTCTCTCTCAAGCCATTTATTATTAAGAATTAAAGGTACATTTCTCAATTGCTTGCAATGCAAATCTTTTGTCAGTCGGTTCGTCCGTTTTTGAAGTTGAATTAAATCAGTTTAGAAAAGAACACAAACTTTGCTTTTTTCATCTGCATCTTTCAATCAGTTCTCCGTGTACGATTTAAGACTCGTAGGTTACGCAAGTTTTGCTCATTTATGCACCCGGCTATATATCAAAATACATATATTTCTTTATTGTTATATTTACGTATATTATACACTGTTTGTATGCAGTTTAGTACGTTCTCTTGTGTGTAATGTTTATTAAATACAATAAATTTCATTATCTTTCAGTTTCTCAGCGAATTTATTGAATCACGTCCAGTGAGGTAAACATCATTTTACTTGGGAAATATGATAGAAAATTTAAAACTAACGGCATCCGCTTTGAACTCTACGTCAACTTTCAAATCAAAGAAAAACTTGCAGCAATTATCGTCCACATCATTAATGTTAGAATATGATATCGACAATACTTTGAATGCGATGAAAGAAAATCAGTTTAGTTCGCAGAATAAAAATAGTAAGGATTCGTTGCTAATGTGCAAGGACGAAGATAAGTTGAATAGTCCAAGTGCTGTCGTCGTAACACCGTTAGAACCTCTTTCAATAAATTGTGATAACGATATGAAAATTGTATTGCCGCCAACACCGCCGTCTACTCCCGTCATACAAAATACAGCTCGAAAACGTTGGAAAATGTTAGCCAAAGTATTGCGGAAAGATTCCGAAGAAGCTATATCCTCTTCGAGTGAGGAGCATGGAGAAGAACAAGCGGCGTCCGTTAGGCGTTTTAAATCGTTCGATTTATTGCGTAAAGACAGCTTTGAAGATCATATCACTTTAAATTGCTTAGGTAAAGCGGAAAATTGGTACAAATATCGTATACTATTGGAAAATCAAAATCATTCAGAGTTCACCGTTAATATTCATCACATGGAACGTCATTTAACTGCCTCCGATTTGATGGGCTTTAACAATACCGGCAACATATGCGTGTGGCCATCGGAAGAAGCTTTGACTGCGTTCGCACTGTCTGATTTAAATGCTTTCAATGGGAAGTGGATTTTAGAATTGGGCGGCGGTTTCACTTGCCTGACTGGTTTAATGCTTTCGAAATACGCGAAACCTTTTGCAGTGCATCTAACTGACGGTAACGAGATATCGGTGGAAAATGTTAAAAAGACCGTCTGCCTTAACGAGTTATCATGTTACACCAAATGTTCAGTTTTAAAATGGGAAGATAAAGATGCCCGAGCAGCTAATGAAGCCTGTAAATTTGACATCATCTTATCGGCTGATTGCTTATTTTTCGATGATGCCCGTTCTGCTTTAGTGGACACGATTTGGTATTATTTGTCCCGAACGGGTACTGCTTTAATAATGGCCCCTCAACGCGGTAAGACTATGAATTTATTTATTGAAGTATCAGTGGCGAGAGGCTTTTTAGTCAATATAACTCAACGCTATAATGAAACAATATGGAAACGTCATATGGAATTGAAAAGGTGCCCTCACTACGATGAAGACTTACATTATCCCTTTTTATTAAAATTACAAAAACCGCCAGAGATGTTAAACATCGAAAGTCCAGAGCCCTAGGTACTGTGTACCATATATAAATTCACTGTTAATTCCAATATTTTAAACGTGATCAGATGATGTTCCCCTATTTTAATTGAAAGTAAGTTTATTAATTTCTTAAAATAATTAAAACACAGGGCCCGATACAATAAGTATTTTAAATGGCCCACACACACACACACAAACACACACACACACGAATGAATCAGAAATTTGGACACTATATTTTACGGAATGTTGGGAATGACGGGGAGGGGAAGGTTTTCCGATGATGAAAAATTAAATTCAACGTAATTAACTTTTCTTTCGGAAACACAGAACAATGCAATTGCAAAGCGACTTAAAACAACGCGAGGTAATGCCGTTGTCTCCAGGAATCATGCCAAACTTATAAATTTACATCGTTGACAATGGTGTCTCGAAATTTTTTAATAATACTAATGGAAGTATTTTACGATCAGCTGTTGTTGTGCCGAGGACAACAATATACAATTTACACGTGGGTTTTCTGCTGCTTCGCAATAGGTACCTTATTCTGCCGATTGTGATTAACTAGAAGATTAACATCGTTTGGCTTTTAAGTTATCAATTTCCAGGCGCCTGGTGGCCTTCTTCGCCCCGCTCGTGAACGCACATCTTTTGATAATACTAATAAATTTGTGATGGCCTATCTTATCTTTGAAAGAAATATTTTTATTTGACCATGAATTTTTACATAATTTTGTTTCTTCATTAAAACTCTAGAAAATATGCTTAATAATATTTCGCATCTTTTAATAAAATAATATATACCGTCCAAAAAGCTTTAAATTGGTAATATGTACTGCACCATATAAAATCTATATATTTTACATATATATATTAAATATACTATATATTCCAACGACTCGTACAAGCATTGACGGCGAAGTTCGGTGAGGTTGACGGCAAAGACGCCGAGGAAATGCCCATAAACGAGGCGATGGCATTTTTTAGTGGGGAATGTGTCTCCATAAACGCCGATGATATCTTTGCTATACCCTTCCTCTATAGCGTCATTAATGTGCTTGAATATTTAATTGTTGGCTGATTAGGTCTAATGAGTGGCGGGTATGTTTTCAACTTAAGATCTCCAAGGTTTTCTCATTTGTATTCGTGACAATCAAAACTAAAAATTTAGAACAATGTAAGATGATGGGTAATAAGGCATTTTTTGCCTTGAGTTGTCTACATTTCTGCTTAAAATTTTCTTGGTCCTGGCCTACGGACGGTTTTCCATATAAACGAAACGAATCGTTGGTATTCCTGACCAGATTGCATGCTTTTTAATTTTTTAATTGTACCCACAAATCGACGCATTACAAGGCTTTTTTGGGTGAAACGTAGCAAAAGGTTTTAAGCCGAAGAGAAAGATCTTTACAATCCTCAAAAGAGTTTGTTGAAATATCGAAGGTTCCAAGACTTGAATGATCTAAAGATCCACCTAAACTATTCCTTTGACTGATAAATAAAACTCTGCTTCCATAAACTAATATCAGCCTGAAACACACAACACTATCGTCATCGCTTCTGTAGAGAAAATAAGCAAAAATGTGCAAAAATATTTGCTCACTACTGAAGGTTGGGGTTGTCAGCGAGTCATTTCTTCATTTGTTCGACAAATGTGTATTGATTTCCGCTTCAGGTATATATTAACGTTTTTACGCGTTTTTATAAAAATTTATGTAGGACCAACGCGTTTTGGAATTGGGATTAGAACATGCAATCCTTTTTTTCTTTTTTGCTTTCTCTCTTCCTTTGCTTGTTGCTTCTCTGCCTTTTTATATTTCATGTATTGAAATAATCGGATAAACCTTTATCCCGACTTTGTATATATTCCAAGACTTGTCCCTATATATCAATTTGTGTCCAAATTTTGAAATTTTAGCTTTAAACAAAAGACAAAAATTATTTTATTTTCTTTTTTTATGATAAATCTTTAAGATAATTATTACTTTCCCACTTAAAATATAAAACATTTTTTTCTTTTCTTTGTTGGGTAAACAAACAAATGGACTCTGTATGTAAATGTGTTTGTAAACCAGATTTTTGATATAATAAGAATATATATTTATTTATAATGAAGTTGTCGCCAAATTCAAACTAATTATAAAATTATATAAACAAATGTAACATAAAATCTGAGATCAAAGAACCATAATCGTAGATATATTATTTATAATTAGCATATAAGATTTCTAGACTGAAAGGAAGGTTTATGTGTATAGATTAGACCAAATATTTAGATTTTGCGGATGTATAGAATTTAGATTAATAAAGAAAATAATAAATTAATGACTTTTGATATTTATTTTGGTTTGTATAAAATATCCTTTACGGTAAGTTAAATTCCTTGTCGTGTGTCGGAGTTTAAATCCTTCAGGTGTTGTGTTGCCTAAAGTGCACAAACATATACGTTCACTCTCTTAAGTGCCCAAATTTTTATACGCTTACTCTCTAAAGTGCCCAATTAAGTTTTCCTTAAGACTTTTTTTGGACATATTATTACTATTAGCGACTCTCTTGTTTGAATAAAACCTATCGACAACATGTTGAATTTGAAATAACTTGACAACTTAATGAAATTGACAGACTTTCTATACGATAGTTCAATGTGATCGATTTTTCTAATGAGGTTGTAAGTTTTTATAATTCGATGTTAGCCTATTAGAAGCGGAGAAAATCCTTTTTCCAATTTTTATATGTGATGATTACCTAAACGTATACTGTAAATCTACTTGAGTGGCCGAGTAGGCAAGAGGATTTTAATGGATACAGATTCGGTAGAGTTTTCAATATGGATGCTTGTAATCCATTTAAATACTGCTGCATCCGAAACAGTTTTCCTTAATTTGGGTGGATAGTGAGCAACTCTTAACCGCCAGTATATCCATTTATCAACCAAAATATTTCATCTAAGACCGCTGTTGTGAGCCGTAGACCTTCATCAAGCTTTCGACATTAAGTCGCTTAATACATTTTCATTCACCGAATTTTTGAAATAAGGTATTATATGGGAATTGATCGAAAATGTGGTTTGCAGGGTGTGACGGACAGAGAAGCTTAGATAGATTCAGAATCACTTTCTCGATACAATAAAAGGTTGAGTGGCACAACCTTGATATATTCTTGTGCCGTAAAGTGTGTAAGGTATTAGTGCGTTTTTGATTTTTGAAACCAGTGGAAGAATTTAGCAAAGAAAATTGCATGAATTTTTATTTTTGGCGTGTTGATGTATCTTTTGATGATATTCCGCTTTCTGCAACGAGACCCCTTTTATTTACATTGTAGGTTGCACAAAGAAGACATAGAAAACATTGAAAAAAGACGATGAAAATATTCGACCCTATGAAGCTATCAAAAAATTTGACAGTTTGGTGCTCAGAAATCGTCAATTAATTCTTGATCTTGTTGACAAATATCGTTTAGATCAATGTAATGAAAAACTTCGGAATTCAAATACATCAGGTGATAATATATTTCCCCACAATGTATGATTTTTTCACCTGAATTTCAATTCGATCTCTTTTGCAACAGATCTATTCATCTCTTTCAGGTTGACTGTTGGCTTTCGGTTTGCACGAAATTCAATTTCAAAAAAACACTCGTGGATTGAAAAGATAAATCTGTCCATATACTTAAAGGTGTCTTATTATCGCCTTCCCAGAATAGTGTTGAGCTCCTACCGAGCACTAATTGAGTTTTATTTCTTCTTGAAAAAATCTGTTAACAATCGACGATAAAAAAATCTTAATTTATCGAAAATATATAGCGGCCAATATTTTGGAGGCACAGTTAGAATTTCAATGTAATCGGAGTGAAAATCAGACAATGTTAAAAACACTTAAAAAATCTTATAGAATGAAATTTTATGAAATGATAGGGTTTTTAGAAATGTTGTTGGATATACGTTATGAACTGTCACGAAAAGTAAGGGCCATCTGATTTTTGTTGCTGAAGATATCACTCAAAGTTCAAAAGGCGGATATGCTATAATAAACAAGTGTAAATGGATATGCTGGTAAGTGACCACGGACAGCTGATACTTCAAAGGGGCGGGGTTTGGGTTCAGTTTATGGCATCTGACCTGTTATGATTACGCATTCCAAAGTTTCAATTTTGATAAGATATTATGCTTGTGGGCTTTGCTCAATGCAATCGGGTTTCATGGTTGCAGGCACGGTTGCCATGGTATGTTTTTGTATTTAGTATTGTTTTTAATCTCCTTGTAGAAATTAAATATTGATTGGCTTAGGCGAGTACGTTTTGATTTCTTAACTAACGAAATAAACACAAGCACATACAATACATTATTAATTGCATACAAAAGAAGAAGAAGAAGAAAGGTCGAACCTTGCACTGTAACATTAGATCAACTCTAGGTAGTAGTGGGAGTAGTTTTCCAGCACCATTCAAAGTTGTTCGCAGGATAACTCGAACGTTACAATGACGTCAAGATTTCCATACAGGAATGAATTCCGAGTAAGCATCGGTAAGTTCGTAAGCATGCAACCTATAGAACAAACGTTATGTTGTATATAATAAAGATAAGGTTTTCGTAGTATATTTAGTGTTTGAATTTTTTACAAGTCTTTGTTGCTGAAAGAAATATAAAAAAAAAAAACGCAAAATGTTCACAAAACTCTCGCAATTTGTTGCAGAATTTTAACAAATTTTGAACAATTTTTTTTTCTCTTAATATCCAAATGTTGTTTTTGTGCGTGAGACTGACGAAGAGAACCACAACCACCAACCAGATATCTAAAGTACTTAATGTGTTGTGTGTTTGCGATTTATTGAAAAAAGGTGTGATAAGAGGGCATTTGAATAGCAATAATAAAAAGTAAAAAGTTCTCTGGTGTGTAATTGATTTCATGGATGAATGAGAACACCACGAATTTGGCTACTTATCAACTCACTGGATACTGAACTTGAACTTGTATAAACAAAAAAAAAAAAAAATAATAAAAATAAAAATAAAAAAATAAATAAGTGAAACTTTCCTTCATAAAACGTAAGTGCAAATACAAATGCCGATGGAAGTGCTCGTCGCTGTGCCCTTCGTTGTCGCCAACGTGTTAACTTATTTTACAAACGCAATTGTCGTTTTGTTAAAGCGTATAGCTTTTAATATCAAGTCGAATAATTGTGTAGATATGGTGTGAACGTGCCTTGTTATTGTTGCAGTGCGCGTGCATTTATTTATTGTCATTGTATGTGCATGCATATGCAAGTGTTTGCATGTAATATCTCATTGTATAAACTGAGACAGACATTTATTTCGGCGTTCAATTCGGCATTTTGACTATAGTTTATTTGGTGACCTGCCAAAGCAAAAGCCATATATAATACACAAATGCTTATATACATAAAGCGAGGAAAGAAAAGCATTATTTAAATGTAAAGCTTTCTTCGCCCGCTTTGGGGTAAGCGATGGCATTATCAACGATACCAGCAATAACAATAAAGGTTGAAGGTCATATTTAACAATGTGCCAAATTCGGTAACAATGTTTTATGGCTCTCCTCAGACAATGTATTAAAAAAATGTAACCAAAACAACTTTTAAAATTCTCACTCGTGAAATATATATTCTATGACAATTAAGTCAAGTTTACTTTTCCCCGATACTTTTTTTCGGAATTTGAGAACAACATTGGCATTAATAAATTAAACTAAATATATTCGATCGATGATGACGTAGTACATTTCCATTATATTATCTATCCAGTAGTTGTTAATTTCATTTAATTCATCTTGTAAAGAGTTAAATTTTTTGGGGGCCGAAGACTTGTTAAGTCACTCTATTTTCATTTGGTTATCTTAAGGATCGATACGCAATTCAATTCACTTTGATTTTTCAGGTAACATTACAATTGTATCTTTTATTAGATAAGATCAAGTCCTTAAAGTTAATCCCATGATAAGTGGAAGTATTTCGATTGATATTGTGGTTCTCGATTTATTAATCGAACAAATCGAAATTAGGACCAATTCGGCAAATTAAATATTTGTTCGGTTGTTTATCACGTCGCTACCACTTGGCTACTTTCACATATATAACATCTTTAGACACATGTGGTAGCTTTGCTACAATCTAATGTAATCATGAGATGAACCTAAGCGAAAAATGGAAGAAATTATCGTGTACTGGAAGGAAGCTTGGAACGTTCCATTAATTTTTGTTCGGTTATTCGCCAATGCTTGAGAAGTTCAAAATAGCACGATCCAATTTGGTGGACCTTAAGATCATCTAACATCAAAATCGTAAATCCATTTGCGTGGTATGTCACTTCAGTATACATAAGAAGTTTAATAAACGAAGTCTTTGCGTAAGATTTGCTTTCAAAGCGAGGATATTTCATGCTTATTAGAGAGACACTTGAAAGGGATACTTGAAGAGGAGGGCGACTTTTAGATGTTTCTCCGAATTTTTGAATCCAACTATTTATCCGGGCAGATTTCGTTTAATGCAATCCACAGTTGCTGCAACATTTTTCTGATACAGACACTTGAAAGGATCTCCTCTCTGGTTATATCTCTTTTTATTTAATAGGCTTGAATACAAGTGCAATCCACAGTGCTTTGCGTGAAATCTATATCTATTAATACTTTTCTCGAATTCCCAAGGTTGGTCCTCTTCCTTAGACAATAGGTCGTTCACTGCAAATAATCGTTGAATACATTACTACTTTTCCTTTTTTTAGGTGTCTTCATGATATGTGAGATGTGAAATATTGGGAATTCCGAGTTGGCCTACTACACATTTCCCAATATCTTAGAGATGTTTTACGCGAAAAGGATGTACGAGTGCCCTGGCAAATGGCTGCGATCTTCTTTTGGACATTTGGTTGAAATCCAGCACTTTGTTGTATACACATCGCTCAATACGTTTGCATGATAGCATGCAGATGTAGAATTACTATTAACGCTCCTAAATGATTTTTAAGTAGCACTAGGCTTCAAACTGAATGTGCTAAAATTTCATGACAGTCCGACAATTAGTTTGCAATTTATAGTTGTTTTGGTAATTTTAGAAAAACTAAAGTAGCGGCTCTAAAACAAATTAATGGATGCGTCAATAATGTCAATATCTATATGTCATCCTGCGAAATTATTGAATGATGTATTGTTTGTACATGTATCGTTGCCCATACATGATATGACCGAATTCGCTTTCCTATCTATTAAAGTGCGGCTCCTCAAGGCACTTACAATCTACTATGTATTAAAACAAAAAAAAAAAAAAAATAAAAAAAAATTTTTTTTTTTGCGTCTTCTGCGCAACACAAAATATTTATGTGGCTTTACTCCACTTAACTTCAGTTCATCTCTGGTACATAAATTGTTTTTTTAATTTGCATGGCATTGTTCGAATTTATTATGTGTACATGCGTACACTCAGAGAATATACATTTGTTGGTAGCCGAAGTTTTGAATGATTTGTAAAGATGCCCAAAAGATGCTTTCGTCATGTAGAGCTACCTTAAGAGAGAGACAATGGTCTCTACCAATTCAGATCAGAATTGAGTTTTCACAAATTTTTCTAGAACTTCCTTGAAAGGAAACTAGTAGAGAAAAGGCGAATATTAAACACACACGCACAATGCTTTTTGCTAAAACGAACTTGCAATCTGTTCAAGGTATTTGTCTTTATGTCATAAGCCTTAGCTTTTGCTCGTTTAGCTTAACTTATTTGTATTAATATTTGCCACAAATCTCTCATAAATAATCATGTACTTGCAGCGATAGATTTATATATGCATGTGTTTCTCTATACAACATATATAAGTAAAGTCTAAATAGATTATTAGCGTGGTCGTAAACATTCTAAAGAATTTGTTGTAACACACATTTGCTTCTTCATTCAACCAAGCTTAACACGCTCTTTATCTTTTGCTGAGGTTGAGACGACGGCACGAAAACAAAAGTAAGATAGTTATGCGCAGTTAGAACGAATCTCTGATACCCGATCAACTCATATTAGTACATAAATTATGTATTTCGTATACAGTTCGTATTAGTGTTGAACACATGAGTGATGCTTGAAATGACTCTGTTTTCGATTAATTCTCATATATAAAAATCCTTTTGCTGCGAAAGCAAACTTTAGGTGGGTAAGCAGAGAAATAGACCTAAATCGGCTTGAAGTTCTATGTGATTATCAAGGTGGATAGTTTCGCGTATTACAAGCGAAAGGATAAATTAATTATATCTCATACTTGGCTGTTGATTGTAAGAAAAAGTTAAAAAGATAAACAATTTTGCAAATGATTACAAATTGGCCTTAAAAGAAACTTACTTGGTGAACACACCCTAATTACAGTAGTAATAATAATAGTTCGCATTTATTCTGTTTATGTTGTTGGAGTGCATACATGTGTTGTGTAAAAAGTATTTTTTTTCATTATTTATTTTTTTCATTTTATTAACGAAATGAAAGGCAATTTTCATAAGATAAACGAATTCGTAATTTATGGGCTTTCATTAAAATGAATACGTTATGCAGTCGATGTAATCGATTTTGTGAAGTTAATTAAAGCGACATTGATGCTTAACAGAACAAATTAAACAACAATGCAAACGCATGTTTATGTATGTGGTTAGGTTTTTTTTTTTTTAGGATAAAAGTTTGACAAAACGAGAAATGCCAACTCAAAGCAAGAGCTAAAAGCCTTTTTTTGCCAGCAAACTACTTACTCTCGCTTAAGTTAGTGATCGTTAAGTGCGACTTGAACCGTATGAACTTTTCCTTTTCCTTTTTTTTTTATTACTTTTCAATTTTCTTCTACCTTGGACAATAGAAGTGCAGTCGAGCTTGAGGGGCAATAAATTCATTGCATGCAACTGCAACTATTAATTATGCGATAATTTACAAATACGTAAATAAACTGCTTTAAGCGGCCGGTAAAAATGCAATTAATAAATGAATTAAAACAATAATATGTAATTGCTTTTGCTGGACCAACAACGATGCCCAAGACGAAAGTGTTTATTTAATTTATTGGAAAAGTAGAGAAGAAACAAAGGTAATAAAAATCAAATTAGAAAGTTTTTCTTGTTCACTTCTTTTTTTTGTTTTGTTTTTGTTTTTCATATTTCATGCATTATATGCGTTTGTTAATTTTAAATGCATTCATAATAATATCTTATTGTCTATTATCTGCGGATATGTTAAAAATATTTAATAATAATGAGAATTATGTCGAAAATATTTATTTTTTTCAAAAATATAAAATAGTTTTGTTGTTTTTTTCTTTTTTTTTTTTCAAAACAAAACGACCGAAGAAAGAATAACAGGTTGTAATATATCGTACGATGCCTGAGGAAAACGTAAAGTTCTTGGTAAAAACGTATTAATTTTTTTCTGTCCATCAATTCTCTCTCTCCGGGGAGCTCTCGTTCTCTCAAAATTCTCTGCTAAACAAAAAGCTTTCATATAAAAGCTTATAAGCAAATATTTTATAATCGAAGCATAATTTTTTGTTTTTTGTTTACCACAAAGCTCGCTCTGAGAGAAGATTTCTTTAATTACACCACATCCAAGTCTTGTGTGGCATTGTTGTTGCTGTAAAATTGTATTTTCTCTGAGAGAAGGTATCTTTGATTACACCACGTTCAAAGTTTAGCTGGCATTGCTTTTGTAAAATGTTTTGTCTACTCTGAGAGAAGATTTCTTCTTTACCACAAAAATTGGTAAAAGATATGCTCGACCGTTGCAGATGATTTCGGAATTTACTTTACAAAACGTATTTAATCAAGTTACTAAAACGAAAGTAATGTTACTTACTATCAAATCAACGGCATTAGCGTTGCTATAATTTGATGAAAAAAAAAGAAAAAAAATTCACGGAATCCAGAATAAAATATATATTTTATATGCGGAGTATATGAAAAAGAACTAAAGTGAAAAATAAAAAATAAAAAAAACAAAAATAAAAAATGAAATTATAATAAATAAATTTAAAAAATAATTTTTAATTACAAAATGTTACATATTTATATTTTTCATGATATCGTGTCAATCTAATCAGTCTATCGCTTTTTTATACAATAATCAACAACACATTTATGTAATATAAAAAATAACGTAGTTTGTGGCTTAAATCTTTTACTTATATCAATTGCATATGATGATTATTGCTTTGAAAAATTTTCATTAATATTTCATTGTTCTCAAAACATATAAAAAAAAAAAAAAAAAACACAAAAAACAAAAAAAGGAAAACAAAGGAATTTTTGATTTACTAAAATGAGTGTTTGTTTTTTACGAAAAGACAACAAAAATAAAACATTATTGTTTAAGAGACAACAAAGTTCAAGCAAACTGTTGTTAGTGTTTGCATTAGCAATGCTTGTCATGCAGCATTTCATGCTTGTCAGTGGCAATACGCCCAAAGGATTAAGAACGCACTTGCGTTCTGCCAAGTTAAGCAGCGTACACAGTTTGCCAGAAATAAATGCTGATCGTACGGCCGGCAAATACGGTGAGTTCTTAATGTTGTTCTCTCTTCAATAAACACGAACGAATGTTAGTGCAAGGGTCATTTTATAGGTGTGTTTGAAGCTGGGTGTGTGTTCGCAAAAAAATTGCAAACTTTATAAATTCTTAGATAGAAAAAAAATTAATTGCCTACTGTCACGAGATAGGTTCAGTTTTTTAGCCCAAGTTTTTGAGTTTTTTTTTTCCTTTTTTTTTTTTTTTTGCTTACACTTTATGATCTTTAGTTATTTTTCTCTTCAGATACCAGTTTAGATAGCAATAAGATAGATAAAAAAGGGTACTTCAGTAGTAGTCTTTGTGCAGTGTCTGCACCGAAATGTGCAAACGAGTAAACAAGTTTTGCACAGGATTTTAATTATTATCTGATTCCCAGCAAAGCGTCAAATTGCTTTCATCACTTAGTCGCCTTTTGTCCTTGATAATTCTCAATATTTTTCTTAACTTGGCAAATAAATTCCACACGACGTTTGCATATTACGTCCCTTTGGAGAATTTTCCGATATTAAGAGTTCGTCAAATTGTTTCTTCGGATGGCACTTTACGAAATCTGCTCTCGATATGCCATAAAGTGTTGCTGGCAGTCACAACTTATTTAATTATGTCTGTCCGTCCGTCCGGTTTTGGTTTTACAACTTTTTCTTCGTGTTAAAGCACAGACGTAAGCTATCAACAAACACAACCATTAACAGAAAAAAAATATCTCAAAAAAAGTAAAATGCAAATGTATTGAGAGAACCTTGTTAAATTTCGTGTTAACGTTTTGTCCGTCGGTCCATAAGTCCGTCGTTGTTGGTCGCACGTCTCCTAATTACAAAAATTAAGACACATAATTACGACTTTGTGATATCTTTAGGAAAGTTCAAATGTAAGATTAATTCACTCACACAAACATTCCTTCGGTTGCTAAACAATTCAGCAAAGAAACCTTAAAATATTATTTGTAAATGTATTTACTATGTAAGCAGTCTTCACTATTAACATAAAAATTTGGTGCCAAAGATATCGCTACGTCTGTCCACTAATTGCATACTTATTCCTCTTGACTCGGGAAGAGGCATAAAACGCTTGAGAATGTGCCCATAACTGCTGGAGTACAAACAAATGTTTTTGTCGGCATCGATCATTACGTATTATTCCCTTTCCTTACATACACTAATCGTAAAAAGAGCTAAGTATATCCAGTACATATAGCGTAACATGCAAACACAATTTTCTTTCTTTTGTCCTCTAGACAGTTGACTCTTCACACATTTGCTACAATTTTCCTTATAAACGTTCGAATTGAAGTTGCATCAATGGGATCTCAGGGCGTTTATTACGAATAAAAATGATACTTGATGAGCTGTGTTTCTTTATTTTTTAAGCATCAAGGGGGGATTAAGCAGATGGATAGACCTGGAAACCCGTCTTTTTTGAAGCTTGACAGCATGCGAATTAAAGAATTATTGGAAATAGAACGTTATGAGTTATCATTGTTCGATGCAATGTTGAAAGCAAGCTCAGCAAACATCAAGTAAAGAAATATGAAATTTTGAGGCAGACCGTGCACTCGTTACTTCCTATTTAACAATTAAACACGATTGTCTATAAAGATTTGCTAAAGTTCTTTAACGCGTCCTTAAAATCACCCAGGGGCCATCAAGCTTAATTTTTTTGAACTAAACGCTGAGAATAGTCTGTACTATTCGGACTCGGGTCTTTTTTGGAGAAATGCTTTCTTGCTTTTGAATCTGCATAAGAAATTTGCTTGATATGTAGCTAAAGACAATGGCATCGCTCCACGTTTCTTATCAACTCAGAGTATCAGTCCACCGTTTACTTGGCCCCTGCTGGCGATGCCGGCATGTAGACCAAAAAATTGACGTAATCCTCTAAATGATTCTTTGAGTAAAGTGCATCTGTGAAAAGTTTCGGATTTGTGGTCGTAAAGTCTCGTGTGGTCTCGTTACTTAAATAAAGCACGTTTTCAGCTATTTGTACAATCTATGCATGGTCAGAAGACAATGAAGGATATCCGATAATCGCTCCTAAAAGTTTTACCGCGTTTATGTGAAATGCAAGACAAAGTCCAAACAATACACTGACGAGGCAACTGGAGCTGCGGCAATTAGAAAAACATTCATTAGTTCTCCAATTGCATTAGTTAGAAATAGCCTTTTGCTTCATATTCAAAAATATGAACTCTAGCGAGTCCGATATTTGTGCTTTGAAGAGTAAAGTTTAAGTCCTTGTCGCAACCTTGAACACGTGCCGCTTACAACAGATTGGAAAAAAATATATAATTATATCACCTAATAAAAAATACTTCAAGTCTTTTTACTGCTTTTTACAACATTTTCCCTATCATAGGATTAGTAAAAAAGAATGTTAAGATAGCTATCCAAAGAATCACATAAGGTGAGATAGAGATTAAACCAGTTTTCATTGCTTACTAGCACTTGACATTTCTGACGCATTTCAACTTTTTACTACTTTTTGTTCTTATATTCGTTTTCACTTAATATCACATCAAGAATCCTGTTTTTTTTTTTTTTCGTAGCTTCGGTTTCAATTTCAGAATTAACCTCTTAATTATTTTCTTGCATGAGCATAGCTGTAATCTTTTACGGTAACTGGAAGAATATCGATAACATGAATTTTCCATCATACAAACATATGTAGGCACATACGTTTAAATGGTCACCGTCACCGTGCAGTTCTAAAATTGTATAGAAAAAAACCAGTGTTGAAAATGAGCAAATGCGCACATAGCAGCAAGCACATCGGCCAAATTCGTCATGGACGTGCATTCTACGTACACATGTCCCAATGGTAGCATTTTTCAATTTTGTTTTTCATGCTTACTTTTGTTATTTTCCATTTCAGCTACTTACCAGCTAGCAATGGTAGTCAGTAAAGAAGACAAGCAGACAAGCAGTCAGTCAGTAAGCCAGTTAGTCTGCCTTCAAGCTTATCGATCAATCTTTTGTCAATTTTTGCAAATTTATCTCTTTTTCTCTGCAAAAGAATCTTCAAATAATTACATATTCATCTCATTGAATATTCGCTGCAAGCTATTCTGCCCTCACACACACACACACACACACACAATTGTGCTTTAAAAAATTATAAACAATAAATTCTCAAATGATTGTTATGAAGATTTGAAGACTTTCTAAAGGTTTACATTTTAGAGACACCAATGTTCACCTAATAAATCATCATAATGATCGGTCGTCTTCCTTTTTACCTTTGGCTATTCATCTCTGTTAGAATAATGAAAGTTTTTCGTTTTTGATCAAAAGTCAATTTCTTCTACTCATTATTATTTTTAATGAATGGCAAATGAAAAAATTAAGCAAAATGTAAAATAACCTCAAGCTCACCTTAATTATGTTTAGATGATTCACCTCAAGAATTGCAATTAAGTTCAAAGCATTTGTCTTGAGTTTCGAGTAATAGTTTAAACAAAAGCTTTGATTGCTATCACTAACATTCAATTTATTGTTATTTCCATTTTAATATTCTAGTTATTGTTAAAAGTAAAGGTTGCCTAAAACCAAAAGAAATGAAAAAAAACTATTCAAGCTTTCTCTTCAAAATGTTACAAAAGAAAATATTCTAAAACAATTCAAAGTCTTACGAGTTTTGCATTCTTTTTCTAAGATCATCAGATACCTAGAAGGTTTACAAGGTCATGGCCTTTCTTTTTGTAGCTTTTAATCTCTCAACTTGTCGTAGACTGTTATATAATCACGGGGGCACTAAACACTTTTTATTCGATAAATTTTTAAGAGTATAGCAACCAAGATAAGTCGAATGTTAAGTATTCTCTCCACTAACCAAATATTGTATGGAAATATTATCACTTTTCGGGCCATTAATGGATGTTAGAAAAATTGATCTAAAAATATCAAATCTTTCAAATCGAAAATCACATTTTTTTTTTTATACGCATCAACAAGGGATGGATTGATTTAATCGTGTCCGTGTGTCCGTCTATGTAATGTCTACTGTGAATATGTTGCTGACTGCGAAAATTAATCTATCGACTTCGAATTAGAGAGAAGCATTGGAAGTTCTTGCACGGTGGTTGATATTGAAAATGGGCGACATCACGTCGAATGGGCGTGTGCTGCAAGAAGGAAAAAAAAAATTTTTTTTTGTTCATTCGCGAAACATTGTTTAATGATGATTATTAATAAAAACTGCAAATAAATGAAAAGAAAAAATTGATCCGCGATTTGTTTGTCACTTGTAAGCATTTTTCATACCTTCATCTCCTTTATTTAATATTAATATAATATAATAATTCTTCTCTTGGTAGCTTAATTCGCGTTATTATCAAAAATTCTTTCTTAAAATTGATTCGTGTTTATTCGTAATTCGATCACTGTTCATTTTCGCATAAAATTATATCACTACTTCTGCCCATAGCCTATCCATGCCGTTTCTATCCCGGTTGCTACGAGGCAACTACCTATTGTGTTTTCATTCATCATTCATTGATTGTGCAACTCACACGTTTCGTAAGTTGAAAATCTCGGAATCTTCGAAATTTACGTCTATTCGTCATATCGAAAAAATTAGTTAGGAATTTTTGTCAAGCAAATACTTCTCGAAAACAACTGCATTATAGGGAGAATCCAAAAAAAAAATTGATTGATCAAATTTTGATGGATACGAATTCAGTTCCGTCGATGTGCTTTTCCTTTTTGGCCAAAAAATATTTTTTGCCCGTTTTCTTTTTTCGCCACATAAAGGCTGTTTTTTTGCCTTGAAAGGCATTAGAAGGGAAGAGGCTTCAAAGTAGAGCTTTACCGTTCAAATTTAACACAGCCGCAGACGTGAACGCTACGGCATTCGCTTTCGGGCATCGCTGAATGCAGCGAACGTGTTGATACCGTTAAGCGTCTTCTCAAAGAACGCATTGTTTTTCGCAAATCCTTGTCAATAATTATGGAAAAAAGGAACTTTTGTGCTATGCGACCGTATTTGTAAACC